CATGCACCCACGTGGGCAGCCGTGGGCAGGCATCATGCCAGATGCTGGGCATAATCTCTGCCTGCCAGGAGCCCACAGAAAACCACACGCAGCCCACCAAGCCACGGACACACCAAGTGTGGCCCTTGGACCAGCAGAAGCAGCACCTTGGCTCACCAGACATGCAAATCCTCAGGGTCCTACCTCAGGCCAAATGATCCAGAATCTCTAGGGGTCGAGCCCAGGAATCTGCTTTTAAAAGCTTGCTGGATGATTCTTAATGTGTTTATTCATCTGGGGACACCAGTCTAGATCAGAAGGCCTTCCCCAATCTCCCTATTTGAAACTGCAAACCAGCCCCAGGACGTGACTCCCCAACCTTCTTCCCTGCTTCATAGTTCTCCAAAGTTGTATCACCGTCAACTATAATACCGAATACTTCATCCATACACTTACAACTTCCCACACTGATATTAAGCTTCTGAGGGCAGCAATTTGAGTCACTTTTGTTCTCTGTTGTAGCATCAGTTGCCCAGCACAAGAAGAGATCAATAAATATTTGTCAGTTGAATGATGGATGACAGAACATGCCATAACCCACACAGAACCAGTTCTTGCGGGTGCCTAGAGAAAGACAAGGTTGGTGGCCATGAAGCATGGCACAGGGACAGTGGTACCCAGGTTGGCCTGGAAGGAGGTTTAGTCCAGGAATGAAGGATGCTTAGAACACAGATGCTAAGCCTCTTGCCGGAATAGGTCTCAGATGGTTGATACCACTCTTGTCTAATCAGTAGTTTGTAAGTGCCAAGAACTGTCCTAGCCTGTATCACCTGCTGCATGAACCTCAATGGTAGGTTCAGTGACATTAAATAACTTGCCCCAACCACAAAGAAGACTTGTATAAGAATGTTCATAGCAGCTTTATTTATTTATTTATTTATTTATTTGGTACCTGTGATTGAACTCAGGGGCAGTTAACCATTGAGCCATATCCCCAGCCCCCCCCCCCCTTTTTTTTTGTATTTTATTTAGAGACAGGGTCTCACTAAGTTGTTTAAGACTTTGCCAAGTTGCTGAGGCTGGCTTTGAACTCGTGATCCTCCTGCCTCAGCCTCCCAAGCCACTGGGATTACAGACGTGCACCACAATGCCCAGCCAGCTTTATTTATAGTAGCATCAACCAAAAAATAAACCCAAATATCCATCATCCACTGTGAGATATTCATACAATATAATAGTACTTAGCAATAAAATGGAATAAACTATGGATACAACACAGATGAATCTCAGACATTATAAGGAAAAATAAGGCAGATGCAAAGATGCATTTGGCTGCATTTGAAGTTCTAGAACTTAAATATAGTTACATACCTAAACTGTATTTAAATAAAGCATTGTAATAGAAATCAGACAAGAAGCCACCGCTGGAGGAGGGGATGGGAGAGTGCTGATTCAGAAGAGTCATGAGGGGGCTTTCTGGGCTGGTGGACCATGTTCTACATCTAGATTGGAGTGGTGAGAGTGTGGGTGTTTACATTCACCTAAACTCAGAACAAAGCACTTGAAATCTGCATTTGATTGTACTAAATCACATTGAGTTTAAAAAAAAAAAAAAAAGCTAAAAATCATTTGCCCTAAGTCACAAAGTCACAAATGGAGATGTGAACCCAGGTTCCCCTAATGCCAGTGGCCAGTTTACACAAATCAGACAGAGTTGAGTGAGGAGTTCCCAGCGACCCCCCACCCCTCCCAGCCTGGTAAAGCCCTTGCCAAAACCCTGAATGAAAGGAATTCACAGTTACTCTAGGAAGGAAGTCACAGGCTCCCAACCCCCAAATCCTGACAGGGAGGCTCCTGAGGAGGCCAGAAGAGTGTCTGGGGGGAGTCAAGAAACCTGCGTTCAGGCCTCAGCCGTGCTCTCCACTTGCTGAGGTACCTGTGAGCCACTCCGTGACTCAGTTGCCCCTCTGGGAAGCAAAGAAGGAGGGATCAGTGGTTGCCCAGAGGCCACCAGGCCACAAGCCCCTATGGTCACCACGCACTGTTACACTAAAAACGTCATGTGCCTGCCTTGGAGCCGCTAGGCTATGTTTTCTAACGCATGCTAATATCGTGATTAATAAACACACATCTATTCCAAGGCAAAAATGAAACCACAGCTGCTTTTTGTCATTGTGCAGTTTCTCAAACAAAAGACACCAAAAGAACAACCACTGCTAAATGACTTTGGTTTAAAGAGACTGGGAATCTCTGTGTAGAGGATTGCTAAGGGGACAGTCACCAAGGGGATGGTCTCCAAGGGGACGGTCGCCAAGGGCCCTTCCAGGTCATCTGCCCCATGATTGTCTGGCATCACTTGGGCAAATGCCTGTCCTTGTGTTCCTAAGGCCTGGGTCCCCTGAGGAACAAGCCTCTTGTCTTGGCTCCAGGGACAGAGTCCCCACAGTGTGGGCTGTGTCCTGGCTCTGCAGCACAGCCTGTAGGCACAAAGTGCCATTACTGCTGCACCTCAGGCCTCAGTTTCCCCTCCAGCTCTGATACTGACCAGTCATAAGAGTGGAGCCTGGGCATTTCTCTCTGCGACCCCTCACTATCAGCTTCCAGTGCCAAAAAAGGAGAGCTTCTGGTCACAGTGGTACCCCATCCTCCCAACTACCACACTTAAGGCCACAGCCCAGTAGGGATCTGCTATCAGTGCTGAGACCCTGCTGAGCCAAGTGCCATCCCCAGCCTTAGCCAGGAGAACTGAGCAGCATGTCTCACATCCAAGCACAAGCACAGACCTTCCTTTCACACATCCTGAGTGGCCCAGCTGCACCCTCCACTCTGGACACATCCTTAGCTGTGGGCCAGTGGCCCTAGATTCCAGATAGAAATCAGAATCACCCACTTGTCACAACTCACCCCCACCTCCACCCCCACCCCGGACCCTCCGCGCCAGTTTCACATTGGTCCTGGTGCTGAGTCAGAGGTTTAGAGAGCCTCCGGATAAATCAGGGGCCTCAGCAGAGTCCCGCCTCCCAAAGGCCCAGAATTGGGGCCACCCCAGTCTGGCAGGGCTTACAGAAAACACCACCCCCAAAGGCAGAGCGCTGGTCTAAGACCCCACCCACCGACTCACCCAGACTTTAGCATACAAATCCCTAATCTCCACTCATCCCCCCAAAGCGAAGAAGGAATCTACCTTGCCCACTTTATGTTTTAAAATAACAAAGCCAAGGGCAGAAGACAGACCAGCTGCCCCCACATCCAATCTTCCTCTCCCAGAAAACTCCACTTGCTACTTCTAATGTTTTCCCTCCATCAGACCGAAAGCAGCTCGTGAACCTGCCTTATCTTCAGGACACCATCCCCCTCTCCGCTTGCTAACTTCCTGGGTCACTGGACAAAAGATAATCACCCCTACTCTTCCCAAGAACTCGCTTGCCGCCCACCACCGCCCCATGACGTCCCAGGTCCCAATGCTGTCCCAGATCCTTCCCAGCCAGCCCCCAGCCCGCCGCCCTGGACGAACTACAGAGGGCTGTGCCAGAAGCGGTTCCCCTAGGGCCTGAGGACGCACTTGGAAAGGCCCAGCCCAGGAGGCCCAGAGATCCACGCTGGACGCCCTCTACCCGCAACATCCCCATGGCCAGGGGCTGGGCGAAAAGCCCGTGGGGAAGGGGAGAGATCCCAAGCGGCGGATCCAGCCACCCCACGCGCACTCACCAGGCAGAGCCGCCGAGCCCGCGCGTCTGCGCCGGGGCAGCGGGAGAACCCACGCGCGCTGTTCAATCCGGGCTCCGAATGACGAAAAGCCTCGCTCGGCTCCAGCCGGCCCTGGACCAACGCACCGATCCGCGGACGCACGATGGTCTGGCTTCCCAACTAAGTTTGAAAGTTCCCTCCACCGCAAGGGAGGAGGACGTGGACCGCGCAGCTGCCCCTAACCATCTGGGCTGAGCTCAGCGGGGAAGCCGGGATCCGACGCCTCGGGGGCCGGGGGTTCGGGACAAGCGAGCTTCCTTGGCGCAGGGACGCGCTCTGGCGCCGCGCAGAAAATATCTGGCTGGGGGTGGGGGCGGCGATTTTGAAAAAATGGGAGAGGGTTGCCCCCTACTGCAGCGCCCGCCTGCAGAGACCCTGCTCTCGGTCCCCGAGAGGGTATAGGCCTTGATTGGCCATTGCAACTCGGAATCTGAGGCCCCGCCAGGCAGCGATGGCCAATTAGTAAAGGGCCCAATTAACGCGCGGTGGCGCGGTGAAGTTAAACCCCGGCGTGAGAGTGTAGATGACCAAGGTGTGGGGGTGGGAGTTAAGGGCAGTGCGGAGCCTGTGGCTGTTCCTAGGTGTGACCGCGTGTGACTGTGTGGACGTCAGTGTGATCTGTGTCTGAGGTTCACCGTCCGGGGGTGGCTGTGTGTGACAAGTGTGCGCTTGTGTGAGTCATAGTATGAGCTTGTGACTGTCGAAGCGACTTCTTTGTGTGACTGTCCCTAGTTGTGACTGGGTGTGACAGCGAATGGGGGCATGTAACGGGGTGTGTGTGGCATGTAGTGTGCGTGGATGGGTGACCTTATGTGGCGGCATGACAATGTACGTGGGCGAGTGACTGAGTGTTGTTGTGAATAAATGACTTGTCAGGGTGACTTGTGCGGGACGGTATGCCAGTGCAAGCCGTTCATGGCTGTCTGTGACAGTAGGTCACTGTGTGTCTGCTTGTGAATGAATGTGTGGCTGTCGGGAGACGTAGATGAGTGAGAGACACTGTGTCGTCGTGCGGGTGGCTGTCGGGGTGACTTCGGCTGTGATCCGCACAACTCAGGGCGTGTGTGTGACCGCCAGGGTATCGATGTGAGCGGCACGTGCCCCTCAGCGGGGTCGAAGTGTATGTGTCCCCCCGTGTGCACCCCAAAGTGCCCACGTCGCGAATCACCAGGTGACTCCCGCCACCGCTCGGGCCCGGGGCGCTCGGGCCCCGGCAGGGTCCGAAGGCGCGGGCAGGCCGCGCCCGCCTGGCCGCGCACCCCACCCCAGCCTACCTTGCCGCAGTGGTAGTAGTCCAGGTGCGCCAGGCCGGCCGGCTCGGCCCCGGGCCGCGCGCCCACCGCGGGTGCCGAGGGGTACAGGCGGACGTCCATGGCGGGCGCGGCGGCGGCGGCGGCTCCCGCGGGCAGTGCCTGGGCGGGCGGCGGTGGGAGACGGGTGCGAGCGGGTGTGCGAGCGCGGGGGCGGGCCGGGGGCGGCGCCCGGCGGAGCGCCCCGCCCCCGCCCCGCCCCGCCCGCACGCGCTATTGTTCCGGCCTCGGGCGCCGCCGGGGGCAGGGGGCCCGGGCCGAGGCCGGGAGGTCCCTCCTCCGGGATGGGGCGCCGCTGGTCCCCGGCCCGGCCCTCGGCCCCTGAGGGTCTGTAGGGTTGTGCCCCTGTCCAAACGGCTCTTTCCCGTCCCGCCTTTTGCCACCAAGGGTGTAGGGAAGGAGAAGCCCGCACGACACCCCTCTCCAGAAGCGGGACAATCTCGGCCCTAAATATCTGGGGCGGCGCCAACCCCGATATGGCGTAGGGGACAGGGGAGGAAGGCAGTAACGGGAACTCTTTCGGAGATGAGGGCTGCTCTCTCTGGGGACGCGGCCCGGCGCGGGAGGCTGATCTTAGGAAGTCCTCCCTCCTGGTCCGGCTGACCTGAGTTACCGCGAGGGGGTCCCCCCGAGGGAAATCAGTGGCCTTAAACTTTAATTTTACGTGTGGGGAAACTGAGGCACGGGCTTTCGGCATCAGTAACGGAGCACCGGCCCGGTGGGCTTCCCTGACCTCAAAGGATCCAGAACTGAAAGCACTTGGAGAAAGCGCAGGAACCCTGCGCCCTTTGATAATAGGGAGGAGAAGGGCTAGAGGAATGGCCTAGAGTTCCAAGCTCTGAGTCAGGGTCTGGAGTCTACCCCACTCACGTTCTCCTGGGTGAGAAAAGGAAGGAAATGCAACAGAGGTGACTGCGAAACGGGTCCCTCCCTCTAAAAAACAAGAAAAATGATGATTTCTCACAACACTTTAGATCTGCGAAACTGTTGCATCTCCTTTTTCATTGGAGAATTGTCTATGCCTGGGGTCTACTCCCTTGCCTCCCACTCCACACACTGCCCTCTCAGTATCTCCCACCTCTGCTCTCCCATGATCCCTGCCCGCCCCCCCCCCCCCATGATCCCTGCCTGGGAAAGACCAGGAGGAGCAGGAGGCAGAAGTGGATTCTCCTGTGGTGGTAGAACGAATGCTGCTTGAGCCTCTTGACCACCCAAGAGCCACCTTGAAACTTATCTCCCAACTGCTGCTTGGACTTCACTATTTGTGACCATCAAAACCCAGGAACACAAGATAGGTGTGGGAAACAGCTTTTCACTACAGGTTTGGGAACAACAGAGGGAAATTACAGCTCAGAGAGGAAAGAATTTCTAAATTAATTTCAGCAGTCATTGTTTCTAGAAATACGGTGCCACACCTTATCAAAAGGAATTCCCCACTGGCCCCTCTCTTTTTATTCCATCTGGTTACCAGACTGACCCAGCACTACTTGTTGAACCCACACACTCTCTTCTCTGCAGTGCTTTGTCATAAATCAGTAGTCCATATACGCATGAGACTATTCCAGAACTCTCTGTCTTGTTCAATTAGCCTATTTTTCCTTGTGCCAACATCACACTGTCTAGATTACTGCATCTTTGTAATGTCTTAATGTCCCACATAATTAAGTCTGCCCACTTTGTTCTTTCAGACTGTTGGTTATCAACCTTGGCACCTTTATAGAAATGTTAAAACCAGCTTATTTTTTACACACACAATATTACTAGGATTTTGATTGATATCACATTGAATCTAGAAATCAATTTGGATAAAACTGACATTTTTGATATGAATGTTTCTTATTCATGAACATGGTATGTTGCACCATTTATTTAAGGAATTTTTTTCTTAAAAGAGTTCTCTCAGCTATGTTTTGTGGGTTTTGTATGTAGAGATCTTGCACATCTTTTATTAGTTTTAGACCTAGATATTTTATGGTTTGGGTGCTATTATAAATAATTTCTTTATTTTATGTTTTGTTTGTGGCCAGTACAATGTCATGGTTGTACAAGCCCACGGATTCTTGACACCACTCACAAGGGGTGGCATCTAACCTTGCCCTTGAAAAGTATTGGTTTTAGTAAATGGTTTTTACCAAGTGTGGCAGAAGTGATGGTGTGTGACTTCAGAGTCCAGGCGTAGAAGCTGATATAGCCTCTGCTAACCTCCCTCTCTTGTGATCTTTGTCTTCAGAGATCTAGGCCACTATACAGGAGGTCTTAGGCTGCCAAGCTTTAAAGCATTCCAAATTAACCCACATAGACAAACCGTAAGCAGAGATCTTGAAACTAGATGAAGAGGGTAAGTTGCCTAGTTGGTCTCTGACTTAGCTGTCCCCTGCTGTTCCAATTCTGGCCATTGCTTCGCTGCAACCACATGAAAAAAATCTGAACTGTGCAACTTAGCCCTTCTTCAATCCAAAATGTACAGAAACCATGAGACATAATAAGTGCTTACTGTTATTTTAAGCCACAAATTTTTGGAGTTACTCATCAATATAGATCTGGAATTTAGTAGAAATAGATTTTTACAGAATGCCCTTGTACTGAGCAATATCACTAAACGTATTATTAATTCTAACAATTTATCTGTAGATTTTCTGACATATATATATATATACCATTTTCTATCTCATCTGTAAAAATGAGTTTGCTTTCTCTTTTCCATCCTTATACATTTCATTTCTTTTTCTTGCCTTGTTTCACTGACTAGTATCACCAGTGTAATGTGGAAAGAGTAATAAGGGCCCTCCTTGTCTCTTACCTGATCTCAGAAGGAGTAATCTCACTCCATTAATCACAGTGTTTGCTGTATTTTTATTTTTGTTTCATTTTGTTTGGGGCTTTTGTTTTGTGTTTTGTAGATACCTCTGTTGCAGGTTGGGGAGGTTGGTCTTCACAAAGACCCTCTGGGTCAGAAAATAAGGCTCCGGTGACCACTTTACAGATGGGAAGAAAGGGGCCAGTGAGAAATGCTCGACACCCAGAGTTAATAGCAGAGCCAGAACCTAGCTAAGCCTGGGACTCTCTCCTGGAGCACGCCCTGAGGAGTCCCACCAGCTCGGCCCACACCTGGGGAAGGATGTCTGCCAGAGTCCAGAGGCACAAGGGGTGAGCCACATCAGCCACTGGGCTCCCTGAGCATGCCAGCAGCAGCAACCATTAACCCGGCTGGTCACCTGGTCACCTCTGTCCCCTCCTCAGGAAGGGACAAGCATCAGGAGAGTCTAGTAGTAAGGTCCACAGGGAAGCGACACAGGCCCCAAAGCCTGGCCTTGCCCTTTCATGCTGGCAGCTGATTGGACAGAGGCTGATGACTTGGTTCTCTTGTAGAAATGGCTTCACATGCTTTCTTCAGAATGGGGGTGGCCTGAGCCTCCTCTTCCCCTTTACCTCAGTCCTGCACAGAGCACCAGTGGACACAGGCCAGCCTGGCTGTGCCCTGCCTGCAGCGGCCCAGTTGGAGACCCAGGGTACCTGCTCACGCATCGTCCAGCTTTCTATTTCTAATAGCCAACAATCAAAATAGAGACGTGTGAATATACCAGGTGAATTCCACCTCTGTGTAAACCTGTAAAGGACCAACTTATAAAAACAATAGATGAGGGGAAGGTCAGGGCAGTAGGGAAGGGGGTGCGAGGAGCTAGGAGAAGGGGAGGGAGGGAGGAGATACTGAGGACTGAAATGAAACAAATTATATTTCATGCATGTGTGACTGTGTCAAAATGAAGTCCACGATTAAGTGCATCTACAATACTCTAAGAAAAACATTTAAAAAAAGAGATGTCTGTCTCTAGGCACAGTGGTGCAGCCTGTAATCCCAGCAGCTCAGGAGGCTGAGGCAGGAGGATCATGTGTTCAGAGCCAGCCTCAGCAACTTAACGAGGCCCTAAGCAACACAGCAAGACCCTGTCTCTAAATAAAATATAAAAAAGGGCTGGGGATGTGGCTCCGTAGGTGAGCACCCCTGGGTTCAATCCCTGGAACAGAGTGGGGGGTGTTTTACTGTGTTCATTATTATTTCGATGTGGTGAAGTCATCAGATCAGGAGATGATTGCCAAGGAGAAATAGCTTGGTACTCACAGTCCCCAAGGTGGGGGGCATGCCATCCATGAGGGCCACATGGGTTAGCCTAAGAATGAACGTTTCAAAAGTAAACCAAACTATCCAGATCCACACCTCTTTTGTAGAATCCTAACTCATCCTTTAAGTCCCAACAGAAACCCCCAACTCAGCTGCTCCAATATGCTTTTCCAATAGCTGTTTGTACACAGAACTTATGAGTGTCAACCTCACCAAACTGTTATAACACATGTGCCCTATGAGGTGAGGGGCAATGGCTCCCCAATCTTGGTGTCCCCAGTGACTAACACATGCCCACGTCTAGAGGAGGTAGAGCTTTGGAGGACCCTCTTATCTACACACACGCCCTCTCAGGAGAAGTAGCCTGAATTGTTCAGATTCCAAGGCACAGAAGAGCAGTGGGTGAGTCACAATTCAGCACCTGACTCTGTCTCTACCTTCCAGTAGCCAGTGTGCATAAGATCTGGCGGGATGTGTTAAGCCAGATTGGGGTGCAGAAAATGGAGATGTACAGGGGGAAGCTCAGCTTCTTGGTTAGGGTCCTCCAAAAGCTGGTCCTGGGGCAAGGATTCCAGTGCAAGTAGTTTGCTGAAGAGTGATCCCAGGGCACACAGGTAGACAAGTGAGAAAATGAGACAGGAAAGAACAACAGTCCTGGAAGGGCAATTGTCAACAAACAAACAAAAAACCAAACCACTGTGAGCAGCCAGAGCCTAATTCCTCTGGGGAATTCTGCAAAGCAAGATAGAACACAGATATCAGAGTTATCCCACTTGAGGGGTAAGGGGTTGGGGTCTTTACTCACCAACTCCTGACAATCTGGGGTGAACGACGCTCTCAGAGAGCATGCTCCACCAGGCAGCTCATCCTGGCAGGCAGATGGTCTCTAGAAACCACAGAAACCCCTTAGGCAGGAGTTGCAGGAATCAGCCGTCAGAAATTGTGGCTGCGTGTGGGGAATGGTGAGGTCTGTG